AGTCTTCTCCAGCACCATAGTTCAAAAGAATCTATTCTTCGGCGCTCAGCCTTCCTTATAGTCCAACTCTAGCAGCCATACATGACTACTGGGAATACCATAAATGTTACCGCTCCACAAAATGCCTGAGGCAGCTTACAGAATTAAATAATTAAAATTAAAACAATCCAAGTAAAACTCACCCAACCCACATTAAATATCTCAGTCCAGTAGATATAAAACCAACATCAGCACAGAAAACAACATGAAACTACAAGAATGCACACCAAAACCCAGAAAAAGACTTGGTGTAATAAAAGGCCGCAGGATTCCAATAGCCAACTAAAAAGTAGGATAAAACTCCATTAAAAGCCAGGGCAAGCAACAGTGTGTTGATGGCTGGTGCCTAACAAACCTCCAAGGGGAGAGCTTTCCAAAGGCAAGGGGTCACCACCGAAAAAGCCCTGTTTGTAGTTACTACCTGCCTCATTTCTATGGGTGGGGGCACAGAGCAGGGTTTAGCATTCTTAAGGTAGCTAGCTACCAGTGGCTGTTGCATACTCTAACATTAGATTCACTCATAGGCCACAATCACACATATACAGACCCAATACTGATATATGGTGGTGGGCAAGGGGACAGGCGGTACTTAGCTGCAGGCCTTTTTGGTGGCTGCCCCTGCACGGCCTCATCTGGTGGCTAACAACAGCCTTCTACAGCCAACAGCCCAGGAAAGACGCCACCCATCTCTGCAAGGTAACCATCCCCCAACAGAAGGATAGTGACTAAGAGGAGGAGGAGTTGGTCAAAATGAGCTGAATAGATTGTAGAAAACAGCAAGAGTCCAGTTGCTCTTTCCTACTGCTACAGACAGACTAGCAAAGATGAATAGATTGGTTCTTGATAATACTCACAATAATCCCTGTGGGGTAGACCAGGTGGCCGGTGGTTACAGCAGAGGCCAATGTTGGATTCGCTCTAATTCAGGGCCAGCCCAAGGGGTTTCCACGCCCTAGGCCAGGCTGCCTTGTGGCACCCCCCTCAGATGCCAACCTCCCGGTGGGGCCTGGAGACCTCCCAGCAGTAGGGCCAGCCGAGAGAGGGCTCCATTTCCCGCTGCCACCTCCTGCGTGCCCGCCT